AATTATCGTGTCGTCGTCGAACACGCAAAGGCCGGGCATTTTAGCTTAATGGGAACATATATCTTATCTATTTTTGTATAAATAATAATGCCTCTCTCTGGCATTATTAGGTGTGAACTTGTCATTTGAATTAGCAAATTTACGATTCTGCCTTTGTCACTTGACATTCCCTCCGAAAGACGTACTCGTTGGCGAATACCCGTGTAAATTATTCGGGACAAGGCCCTTAGAGACTTAAACTCACCCACCGCCACCGCCCTATTGATTTTCGTTGGAAACTATTGTGCCACCCCCACCCTCACGAACAAATATTTTTCTCTGTAAAGAAAATTCCATTTTGATTAAACCTACGTAAATTTAGCACACAAGGTATTTGATTGCAAAACAAGAACAGGCATTTTTCAACACACACATAGAGAGAAAAAAAGTAATTACGTTTCTCAAAAGCGCTTGTATCAAAATTGCTGGAACGTTGTATTACAAAGGACCGGCGCAAATTTCAATTCATTCGCTATTTTTTCCAACGTTTTATTAAAATTTTAATTGTTTTTCTTGACTTATGCGTGTCTGAGTATCGCGTGATCGAGCGTAAGGTGGAATAATTTATAAACATGAACAACCGAGTTGATTACACGATGATTATAAGTTGATAATTGTATTAGCTACATTATTGGGGTCGTGTTACAGTTTTTTTTGTTTCAAGACTTTTGTCAATTTTAATTAAATGTATCATATATTGGTATATTATGTAACTTTTAATGTAAATAGATTATTACATAAATTTCATGATTTACCAAAACGATGAGTTGTTTCACATAAGTCAATAAAACAAACACCTTTACAATGTAAACAACTGTGCGTGAGACAAGTCGATTATAGTCTATTTGTGAGGACACGCAATATAAAGTTTTGTTGATCGATTACCGATGAGTTGTAATTAAATTATAAAAATTTTAATTGCGAAACCTCGAATCAATAACCGACATCGCTTAGAAATTCCTCATTATTAAATTAATATGGGGAAACCTTAGGTTTGGTTTAATTGCTCGAGTTTAATAAGAAATCCTTGGCCCCCCCTAGGGCTTTGAGACGGAATTATTCGGATCGTTTTGTATCTCAAAGTCGGTATATTGATTAAAATTAATTGGAGGAATATTGCAAAAGACAATTTTTATGATTAAATCGAGGTCCTCAATATAATATCATTATCAGTAAAATGCAAATTTCTGTTATTAAAAGAAGGTACCGCCACCTAATACCTGATAAACTTATTTTTTAAAATATGATTTTTATTATTTTTCATTGACAGTCATTCGTGTTTTCATTTAAAGAAATTATATTTATCTCACTTTTAACAAATAGATATATTTCTGTCTTTCTTATTTTTAGTTTAATGACCTAATTAATTAGTGGTTTTGTGTTTTTAACATTTAACTTAAATTAGGCATTCCAACGATCTATCAAAACTATTCCAAAATGGCGTCCGAGGCAGAAGTTCCTCATTCCGTATATGACAGTATAGAATTTAAAACTTTTAAAAGTGCATTGTGTGGTTGTTTTGTGACTAAACCCCATTTATTTTTTTATTTTATTGACTTCATAAGGCTTTTTTCTAATTAAACATGCCACAAAGGTGTCTTGTCGTTAATTTTGGAAGGCGTTTCAACAAGGATGTTGTTTTCAGTGCCCAACCTTTTAAATTTTTCCAGTTAAAACGTGAAAATTATTCAGTACCACTGCTCCTGCATCTAAAATAAGGACATACTCGAAATACTTGTATAAGAATCTGAGCTTTGTAGGCATTCATTTGCTCACCTATGTGAAAACTTGTAGATGGCTGCGGAACTCGCTGCGCTCGTCCCGCAGATGTCCACTCAAAAGTTCCGCAACAATCCACTTATTTGTACTTGAAAAATAACTTATTATATAAAGTCAGAATTTGTAAGATTATCCACTTTTTGTCAATTCGCCTTCCAACAGGAATTAGTAATGTTACTTTACTAAATTAGTAATATAGTATGACAAGTTATTCAAGTACAAACGAGTGAATTGTTGCGGAACTTATGGCTGGACCTCTGCGGGACGAGCGCAGCGAGTTCCGCAGCCATCTATTCATCAATATGTTGTTTAATTACAATACTAGCTTGACTCACTCAAATGTGAGTTATTCTCATTAGTTTAAAAACTACATGTTTCAGGTGAATGTCTTATTTGAACAGTTCAACAGTATAATGGTGAGTAGATGGCTGCGGAACTCGCTGCGCTCGTCCCGCAGAGGTCCACCCATAAGCTCCGCAACAATCCACCTATTTGTATTTTACTACCACAAAAAATTGGAAAATTCACTTTGAAAAATCCTGAAAAATACTTCGGAGTATCAGATTGATTTCAAACTTTCAGAATTCATTAGCCAGGCTGTTTGCATCAAACAAGGAAAATTTGAAGTCAATCTGAAGCTCAGAAATAAAATTATGTGATTTTTTCCAACCCAATACGAGAAAACGTTGAAAAATTAACATTAAATCACCTTTGAAAAATCCTGAAAAATACTTCAGAGTATCAGATCGATTTGAAACTTTCAGGATTCATTAACCAGGATGTTTTCATCAGACAAGGCAAATTTGAAGTCAATCTGAAGCTTAGAAATTGAATTATGAAGTTTTCTCCAACCTTATACCAGAAAAAATAAGAAAATTCATGTTAAATCGCCTTTGTAAAATCCTGAAAAATACTTTAGAGTATCAGATCGATTTCAAACTTTCAGGATTCATTAACCTGGAGTTTTCCATCAAACAAAGCAAATTTGAAGTCAATCTGAAGCTTAGAAATAAAATTACAAGGTTTTTTACAACTTAATACCAAAAAGAGTTGGGAAATTCACATTAAATCTCCTATTAAAAATCCTGAAAAATACTTCAGAGTATCAGATCGATTTCAAACTTTCAGGATTCATTAACCAGGATGTTTTCATCAAACAAGGTAAATTTGAAGTCAATCTAAAGCTCAGAAATAAAATTATGAGGTTTTTTCCAACTTAATACCAAAAAGAGTTGGGAAATTCACATTAAATCTCCTTTTAAAAATCCTGAAAAATACTTCAGAGTATCAGATCGATTTCAAACTTTCAGGATTCATTAACCAGAATGTTTCCATTAAACAAGGCAAATTTGAAGTCAATCTGAAGCTTAGAAATAGAATTATAAGGTTTTTTCCAACCTAATACCAGGAAAAGTTGGAAAATTCAAATTCAATCACCTTTGAAAAATCCTGAAAAATACTCCAGAGTATCAGATCGATTTCAGACTTTCAGGATTCATTAACCTGGATGTTTCCATCAAACAAAGCAAATTTGAAGTCAATCTGAAGCCTAGAAATAAAATTATATTCCGATTTTCTTGCATTTAGGTCTCTAAATATTCACTCTGTATCTCGAAAAGTATATTATAACAAAGTAAACTGTGATTAGCTTGAAAATATTCCAAATAAACTCAAGATAAACAAAGAAACGTCAAACTTTTCACAGTCGCCATATTGAAAAATCACGTGGTTTGGAGAGCCTAATTATTGTAATTTGTAAACAATTTAAATAATTCTAGTGTGTTTTTTATTTATTCTCTTTTAATCAGCGTGTTATTTCATTGATGAACTGAGCACGGTCTTTTGTGTGTGTTGAGTGTTGTCTTCTGATTGGTCGATGGTTACTACGCAGTTAAGTATAAAAAAAAAACAAGATTGGTTTCCTGAAGAGTCTAGGTTCTAAAACAGTCTCTTTCCTGGCAGAACCACTAAACAGGCAAGTCGATTTCGTTGTTGTAATTTTTTTCTTCAGATTTCTAGATTTTCCCTTAATATTTTTCAATTTATTTAACCATCAGTGTATACTATCATATCACTGTTGAGTTTTTACTTGATAAATCTTATCTTATCTATCTTTAGAATATAAATATTATATTTTATTTTTCATCTAATTGTGTGCCTCCATTCTGTGATTGGTACTTCCACGTTTTTCTGAAGTGAGTCAATTCAGAGTTCTGGCTAATAAATAGGCACTGCTGCTCTGATTTCCAAAATCAATTATTAGTGTGGAATTATTGGACCATTTGCTCTAAATAGAATCCAGTGCGAACCAAATTTGTGTGTCCATCCCTATCAACTCTTCACTGAATCCAGGCAGAGGCCTGTATAGCCATTTTCTGTTTGACTCCTTTAATTATCTCCTCGAGTAAAAAGAGCGCTAAAGGGCTGAAATTTTAAAGTAGAAATCCGAATAGGTCAAAAATTCATTTACTTTGCAAGACACTTGCTTTTTGACAGAATTCAGTGATTTAATATTCCAAATTTTGGTGCACCTGATACTGCCTTATTCTTTTCTGTAACATTGTTACTTACATTGTGAACAAATTTTAAATAAAATTATTGTTTTTTAGAATTTGAGTGGTTTCATTTGCACATAAAGGGGCTACAAGTTATGTTTATTTTTTTGAATTTCACGACCCTATAGTTACTAAATTTATTTGTAACAGATTCTCGGTCTTTGAGTGCACTGAAAAATAAAAATTACATACTATAGACCCTATAAAATTTGCATCAAACGCTGACTAGCTGCATCTGTGTTGTTGTCATTGCCCAAAGAGACAAGAAAACCTTTTTGTAGTCCTTTACAAATAGCAGACGCTCTCGGATTTGTACAAATAACCGTCACAGAGAGAGAGAGAGGGCCCTTAAGGTCCTGTCGTATTGCATAGCTAAACTCTATTCACTGCGACGGCGGACAAACAAAGAAAGAAGCCAAAATCATCCCTGAAAGTCAGTTGCGGGATGTTTGCCGAAAAGATCGCCATTAATCCTCGTATAATCTGAGCCCCTGCAGTTATTTATTTTTCGCTGAGACGCAACCTTTAAGATAATAAATTTTAGGTGTAACAAGATATACGCTGTAGGGGGGCGGCGATGGCTTAATTAAGAAAAAAAATACATTGACTGGTAATTTATTAACTCACCATAATGATGATATACACTTGCGTCGTGAGGCGCTAATCTCTGAGCTCGTCTGAACCATTGTTCTGCTTCTGCTGATCTACTTACCTACAATAAAAGTTGCATAAGGCTAATTACAAAATAGAAGCAACAAACGTCTTTGTGAATTCATGAATATTCTAGATAGCGAAATGAGAAAAGGGTATTATAAAACATAAAAGCTTTTTAGCCAAATTGAATATTATGCATCCTATAATGCAATAAATATTGATGCTGAAATGTTTTATCAAAAGGCATAATAATAATAATAATTTTATTATTTAAAATATTAATTTAATATTATTATAAATTTATAGCTTTATGCGAAAATATTAATAATAATAATTTTCAGCGGGACGCAATATATTTTTTGATGCCTCGACGAAATAATTTGAAATATCGAGTATCGGGGGGTGTTTATTATAAAATAATTCCGTGTTTTGTTTGATGACTTTCATAATGAATGCTTCATTATTCGAGTTAAACAAAATATTTACATTTGAATTAAACTTACATTTTTTGCTAAAAGTTTTCCATAGGTTATGTGGGCGGGCACGTGATCGGGTTCCGCTTCCAGTGCAGCCCTGTACCACTTTTCCGCTTCTTCGTCCAGTTGCATTTTAGCCAGGGTTTCTCCAAGGACGTTGTAGACTCTCTGAAATTAATAAATTTCTCTACATTGGGTGTTACAAGACCAACATTCCATATGCAAGTGTGGAAAGTTTCGTATAATAACAGCAACACCGGCATTATCCCTGCTGTTAGCGCCCCCCGAAACTTTAGTAATTAGATCCCTCGAGTATTCATGTGTTCGTTGGATTAGCCGAACTAGTACAAATCTCGTAGTAGTGTAACGCCGGGGCGATGTTCCAGTTTATTTAAACTAAAACAGCTATAGCTCTAATTAATCTACGAGTCCCGGCGTGCACTTCGTTAGGATGTAAAATTGTTATTTCAATATTTGGTCAAGGCAACATTTTTGGTTTTACAGTTGGAGATTTGACTAATAAAATCAGAGGACCTGGATCCCGAACTCACAATTCGATAATATCGTCCATATAAATTACATAGAGGATACTATCGAATCGTGGGTTCGGGATCCGGTAACAGGTAAACTTCCTACAAGAACCTTGGGCAGAGTAGAAAGATCTCTTTTCTATGAGACGGAATTATTCTACGATTATTGACGGAACATTGCCTTACGCAACTTTATTTAGTTAAACTAGTGCCTGAAGGCCGATAAGGTACTTTCTTCCACGAGAACGGTAATCGATATTTGACTGGACATTTGTGAAAATATGTACATTTCCACCCTATTCTCGGGCACAAATGATATTGGAAGTTATAGGCAGTACGCACACATACACATTTTCACTTTCTTCATTGTACGCCCGCTTCACTCACCCTGCTTAGGGAATGTTTATTTTAATATAGAAATTGCCTTACCCAAATTTGTTGCAAATAAATAAATAACCTCATTATTATATTCATGGGGAGTTTTCTAGAAGATTTACAGCAGAATTAGAAGCATCTAATTCGATGCCTGATCTCCACTACTGTAACAAGCTACCTGTTGCACGTGGGCCCTCAACCACAATAATCATGAGATTAGCGTTCGAGGTAACCGTTAAAGCAGGAATAGGAAAAATCGAATTTGTCGCCCGAGCAGGGACTCCTAATTGCTAAAAAAAGAAGTTTCCACTAAAATTAGTCCGTTGACCAGTCCTTTGTAAAACCCAGATTCAAGATGACAAAAGGCAACAATAACCCCAAATATCATTGCACCAGATGGTAGTTACAACCAGTCCGGAGTCTGGCTAACCCAGTGGTTACTATCCCGACGAAATTCTATCTTCTATCTAAAAAGCCCAATACATAGAAAGTTGTAGGAAAGAAATCATTGGTCTCGAAAAATGAAGGTGGCTGCCCCCAGGCCAGGTTCAACCTTTCAGGTCGAAACACAAAATTTAAAAAGGACGAAGAATAGTACAAGCTGAAAAAGCAGAGCTTCTTTTTGAAAAATAGTTAATGGAGAGTGTTGGTACCAACCTGGTACTCCAAAGGTGGAGGCACTTTTATTATGGAAAATGGATCTCCGACAGATTTTTCTGAAATTTGGAAATGTTATGGTTTTTTAAGGTTCGGCTAATGATGGTTTTTAATCGGAGCCTTAAAAACTACAGCATATCCAAATTTTGGAAAAATCTGTCGGAGATCCATTCCCCATAAGAGAAGTGCTTCCTCCTTTGTTGCAATAAATACATGACCTTATCATTGTATTCATGTGTCTTTTGGAGTTTTCTGAAAGATTTACGGAAGAAATAGAAGCATCTGATTCGATGCCTGATCTCCACTGGAATAAGCTACCTGTTGCACGTGGGCCCTCAACCACAATAATCGTGAGATTAGCGTATGAGGTAACCGTTAAAGCAAAAATAGGAAAAATCGAAATTGGTGCCCGAGTAGGGACTCCTAATTGCTAAAAAAAAGAGTTTCCACTAAAATTAGTTCGTTGACCAGTATTTTGTAAAATCCAGACTCAAGATGACAGCAGGCAACAATAACCCCAAATATCATTGCACCAGATGGCAGTTACAACCAGTCTAGAGTCTGGCTAACCCAGTGGTTACTATCCCGACGAAATTCTATCTTCTATCTAAAAAGCCCAATACATAGAAAGTTGTAGGAAAGAAATCATTGGTCTCGAAAAATGAAGGTGGCTGCCCCCAGGCCAGGTTCAACCTTTCAGGTCGAAACACAAAATTTAAAAAGGACGAAGAATAGTACAAGCTGAAAAGGCAGAGCTTCTTTTTGAAAAATAGTTAATGGAAAGTGTTGGTACCAACCTGGTACTCCAAAGGTGGAGGCACTTCTATTATGGAAAATGGATCTCCGACAGATTTTTCTGAAATTTGGAAATGTTATGGTTTTTTAAGGTTCGGCTAATGATGGTTTTTAATCGGAGCCTTAAAAACTACAGCATATCCAAATTTTGGAAAAATCTGTCGGAGATCCATTCCCCATAAGAGAAGTGCTTCCTCCTTTGTTGCAATAAATACATGACCTTATCCTTGTATTCATGTGTCTTCTTTTGGAGTTTTCTGGAAGATTTACAGAAGAAATAGAAGCATCTGATCCAATGCCACTGTAACAAGCTACCTGTTGCACGTGGACCCTCAACCACAATAATCGTGAGATTGGCGTTCGAGGTAGCCGTTAAAGCAAGAAAAGGAAAATCGGATTTGGCACCCGAGCAGGGACTCTTAATTGCTGGAAAAAGAAGTTTCCACTAAAATTAGTCCGTTAACCATTCCTTTGTAAAAATCAGACTCAAGATAACAGGAGGCAACAACTACGCTTTAGACCCACCAGGGTTACTCGTAACCCCAAATAACATTGCACAGATGGTAGTTACAACCAGTCCGGCTAACTCAGTGGTTACTGTCCTGACGAAATTCTATCTTTACTTGCTTTATCCAAATAATTATGCCAATTTCAATAATTAGTGAAATAGCCCAATAAAGGGAAAGTTGTACTCGAGAATTATTTATTGGTTTCGAAGAGTGAAGATGGCTGTCCCCAGGCCAGGTTCAACCTCTCAGGTCGAAATTCAAAATGTGAAGATGGCTGCCCCCAGGCCAGGTTCCACCTTTCAGGTCGAAATTCAAAATGGACGAATAATAGAACAAGCTGAAAAATAGCCAACGGAAAGTGTTGGTACCAAACTGGTACTCCAAATTTACACAAAACGTGGGCCTTCTGGGTCAATAATTGCTATTATTATTGACCTTTTATTGTGTTCAAGCGTACTTGATCCAAGTACAACATGACTTTTTCCAAGTTCAGTTGGATAGGTCCTAACGTCCAAGTAAGTAGACTAACTCACAACTTACTTAATTCAAGTTGTCATCTAAGTACACTTAGACTGTGTCAACCAAGCTTACCTTTTGATTTTCACTACTATAGTAAAGTAAAAATGTAATCATTAATTCAAAATTATTGGTTTAACAAGGTAGTTGACGAAGAAAAGAAGCCTGCAGAGAAGTAATTAGTAAAGTTTCAAAGACCCACCCCAAGAAAGGGCACATTGTTTATGTTACTGAATCACGGCGAGCGAAACTTGGGTGAAACTTACTGGAGAACATAATATCGTATTTAACCCAGAACTACTTTGTGCGAATGGAATTATTATAGTTGGAGCATTGAATTTCAAAATGTAATTCTCTCTTGGCGTGTAATATAATTTTTGACTTCCAAATCCAATTAACACTCAATCGTTCAAAGCTTTGCAGGATCTTTTAAATTATGCATATATGTTCAAAAAAAAGATCCACCCCATTATCTTTCTCGACTTTATTTTCATATTTCAGATTTTCTGCTGAAATCGCGGCGGCGTTCAACAAACACGCGGGCCGCCCTTCCTTCCTTAAACTTTAAAATTTATCGGTCGTTTTTGGGCTGACACACGGGGGCTCTTCAGATCCACTCTGACCCCATTATCTGCCTAATGCTCACCCTTACTTTCATTAGCGCATCCTATTTTCACGCCCCCGTTCTCAGCTTTTGAAAGGGTTCATTCTCGTAAGGTATAACATGATATATAATGCGATTCTTGCTTTGAAGTTTTTCGGAAAGATCAGTGATTTTTGAGCCTTTTGCATGCAAATTTTACAAAATGTGATTATCAGGCTTTGCATTTAATTATTTTCCCCTTGATCGACCTAAACGGGATTTATTACTTTTTTAATCCCCCGATTCTCTGGCCCTCGATTTCCATATAATAATTATTATGGATGAGGAATTAATTTTGTGTGATTAATTTTATTCAAACAATGTCCCCTAATTAGGTGGTTTGACGTCAACCAAAGCAAACCTGGTTTTATTCAATTTTGACTTGTGTTATACCTAAAACAATAAAAAAAAAAAAAGGAAAAAGGACACGGCTCTGCGGGTGCGAGAACAAATTAGTAAAGTTCGGGACAAAAGGGACACACTGCTAGTGTTACTGCATCACGATGTTATTGTGAAACTTTGCAAAGTTTCTCCCCACCTCTAACGCGCCAGCAAAATGGCGGATTTTGTATGCCTAAAGTAAATTCCTATATATATTGAAAACCAAAGTTTTGAAAGGGAAGTTTCATTTATATGCCATTTAACGGGTGATAAATTTATTGTCAACAGAAAGGGAAAAAATGGCTCCATAAACCGAAATGGGCTGATTAGGCCGAGATAAAAGTTTATTTAGCATGGAACAAAAATATGTTGAACGCTACTAGAAAACAAAAGGGGCCCGAAAGTGTGATAAATCATGTACAAAATAGGATTCCGGCTCTCACAATGAAGTCGCCTATCGCGGCGGAGATTTTTATTGTTTCACTGAAAATATATGCACTGCGGACAAAAAAAAAAAAAAACATAACAGGAAGAGAAAGAGCCATCGAGACTAACGAATTACAATTTTTATCAATTGTACACTCCGTTATTTCCATCTCAAACACATTGAATTTTAAACAAGTCCGTAAGGAGTGGATAAAACTGTTTATTTAATCCAATGAAACCGCCTCATTTTTCCCAGAATCCAATTTGCACTTAATTTCGATTCAATTGCCCTCATGCGCGCGCCCAAACTCCATGTCTCAAATAATCCTGAAAAATTTAGTTTGAATTTGAAACTGACTCGAGATTTTTAGTTGGAAGACCAAAATGCGAATAAATCATAATGTGTGTATAATACTTTTCGGAATTATGTCAAAATTGAATACCGACCTTATAGGTCACACAGATGACAAATCGAGGGTCTCCTCGAATATTAATTCTGATTGAGAAATGTCCGGACATCGAGGGCAATATTTCAGGATTAAATTCGTTGGACAATTTGGTCAACCTTAAAATAGTTGAAGGGAATGAAGTTTTGTCAGTTACAACAACCGAAAAGCGTGAAAATTGAAAATCAAGAGTACGCTGAAAAACAACTGGACTGTTGGCCAACCCAAAAGGTACTTGAAGATATTCATAGACCGTCTGGGGTAAGAAATGCTGTTGAATGAATAAGTACCTGATGAAATCCTGCTACAAGGTCTAGTATTATATAATAACATTTCCCAGTCAGCTTGTCCAGTTGATCCTCCACTGTATACCTGTTTCTTACAGCTCAAATATTGCAGGAATTGACTGAGATGTCAGATTTTTTGGTGAGCTGGTATATACTGATTCTAGTATCAAATCGTGCTGCCTTAATTGAATATTAATGGAAGTTCCTTCTCTGATGTTAGAGGGGTCAGGGTTTGGTAGTTGGTAAGCTGGGATTCGCTTTGATACTAGGATCAATGTACCATGGTCTGATACTTTGTAACTACGTCATCGTTTGGAGCGTTTTAATAAATTGGGGATAAGAGGGAAGGATTAAAAATTTGGTCCTGTGCGGGATTTGGACCCGCGTCCTCAGTAACGCTCTAACCAACTAAGTCACCATGACCCCATAGATAACATACACCAAGTTTCAACACACATGGACGAAACCTACATAGTAATAATGAGCTTATTCGAGTTAAGACTGATGCCATAAATGTGTGGGTCTATTGAAGGATTGACAAGTTTGGCAACCACGAAACTTTTTCTAAAAACACCAAACAGAAATCAATAAGATCTGTAGGGTCATGGTGGCTCAGCAATCTTGAGACCAAAGACCCGTAGCCAGAAACCGCACAACTGGACATTTCCCAAGAGGAGATCTGGACCAAGGTGGTAGACTCCATTCAGGCCAAACCTCCTTCACCCAAAACCATGAGGAAAAAGAGCTCTTTCCCCCTAATTGTGGTAAAGGGTAAACTGTCAAACCATACAGAATTTCTCGAGATGGCGTTACACATCACCGGTGAGTCACTCGAGATGAAATATGCGAAAAACTCGGTCATACTGTACGCAAAGAACATAGCACTATGCCCAGCCCACTTATCGTGAATAACATCCCTATGTTACTCTGTCCTCAAAGGCGAAATATCTAGGAATCCTTTTTGATCAAAGAATGAAATTTCATCACCATGTTTTGGCTGACACCTTCAGTGCACAGCAAAAACTCTACCCCTTCATCGGCTCTAACTTTCCCCTATCGCCAGGTAATAGGTTAATAATGTACATATAAACAGGTCATAAGACCTATACTAACATAGGAGGCTTTTGTCTGGAACATAATCTCCACAACTCAGCGAAACCGCCTACAATGTTTTCAGAACCGCATCTTGAGGGGAGTGCTGTCAAAATCCAGGTACGCCAGAATAAGGGGAATGCTTGAAGCATACATTCCTTATATCTCTGATTACCTGCATGAAATCAGCGAGTTCAAGGCTTCCCTCTAACACGCAGAATGACTGCAACGAGATATGATCTAGAAAACCCCATAGTTCACGGTCCACCATACAAGAATTTACCAATCTATTTTAAATACCTCTCCATCCCAATCCTGCTAGTCATACACCCGAACAAAATTTATGGGTGGACGCAGTTCCGCAGCCATCTATTAATCAATATTCTCATTAGTTTAAAAACTATACGTTTCAGGTGAATGTCTTACTTGAACAGTTCAACAGTATATTGGTGAATAGATGGCTGCGGAACTCGCTGCACTCGTCCCGCAGAGGTCCACCCATAAGTTCCGCAATAATCCATTTATTTGTACAGTGTGTTTTCCCTTATATGAGTTGCACCAACTTCTGTTTAAGTGATTTTTCTTGTCCGTTGAAGGAAATTAATTGGACAAGCTGTTGTGTACCACCTTATTGACACAGGCTTGGTGGCAGGAGTTAGAGTTGGGTGGTTGTTGAGAATAACGGTGCTTTCAATGGAAAGGGCCATTCTTGGGATAATTGCATTCCTAGGTGTGTTCGTCTGCACACTGACTTCTTTCTCTATACTTCAGTGCGCAGCAAAAACTCTACCCCCTCATTGATTCTAACTCCCCCCTATCGCCAAGTAATAAGTTAACAATATATGAACAGGTCGTAAGACCTATGCTAACATATGGGGCCCCTGTCTGGAACATAATCTCCATAACTCAGCGAAACTGCCTACAACTTTTTCAGAATCGCATCTTGAGGGGAGTGCTTTCGGAATTCAGGTACGCCAGAATTAGGAACATGCATGCGCAAGCATGCATTCCTTATATCTCTGAGTACCTGGATGAAATCAGCGAGTTCAAGGCTTCCCTCTAACACGCAGAATGACTGCAACGAGATATGATCCAGACAACCCCATAGTTCACGGTCCACCATACAATAATTTACCAATCTATTTTGAGCACCCCTCCATCCCCATCCTGCTAGTCATACACCCAAACAAAATTATGGGTGGACCTCTGCGGGACGAGCGCAGCGAGTTCCGCAGCCATCTATTAATCAATATATTATTTCATTACGATACTAACCTGATTCACTAAAATGTGAGTTATTCTCATTAGTTTAAAAACTATACGTTTCAGGTGAATATCTTACTTGAACAGTTCAACAGTATATTGGTGAATAGATGGCTGCGGAACTCGCTGCGCTCGTCCCGCAGAGGTCCACCCATAAGTTCCGCAATAATCCACTTATTTATACAGTGTGTTTTCCCCTATAAGAGTTGCACCAACTTCTGTTTAAGTGATTTTTCTTGTCCGTTGAAGAAAATTAATTGGACAGGCTGCTGTGTACCACCTTATTGACACAGGCTTGGTGGCAGGAGTTAGAGTTGGGTGGTTCTTGGGAATAACGGTGCTTTCAATGGAAAGGGCCATTCTTGGGATAATTGCATTCCTAGGTGTGTTCGTCCGCACACTGACTTCTTTCTCTATACCTTCAGTGCGCAGCAAAAAGTCTACCCCCTCATTGGCCCTAACTCCCCCCTATCGCCAGGTAATAAGTTAACAATATATGAACAGGTCATAAGACCTATGCTAACATATGGGGCCCCAGTCTGGAACATATAATATCCACAACTTAGCAAAACCGCCTACAACTTTTTCAGAATCGCATCTTGAGGGGAGTGCTGTCGGAATTCAGGTACGCCTCACGCGGGTTTTCCATGCTTTTTCCCACATAATGAGCGCTGCGCGCTCTTCAATTCCAACTCCAAGCATTCCACCCCTATTCTCGAGACAGGCCAGTGGTATTCACCAGCGACCTCAGGGTCCAATAATTGACCTTAAAGGGCAACCGGGGAGCGTCGTGGAAAGTGATAATAAAAAAAGGAACAAGGGTTTGCGGTCAACAACATCGACCAGGCTAAAGCGCCCACAATGCTCACTAAACGAGTGTGTAAGCACAGCGTGCTGCGCATGCTGCAATTTAGTTTAAGAAGTCCTGTCCTAGTATTAAGTAAATGTTGTATATTTGTAGTTTGAAGGAGGCTTATCCCCTGTACACCTGAGAAATTTTAAAATAAAGATGTTTGAGTTTGAGTTGAGCAATCTTGAAGACGCAGGTTCGAATCTCGCCCAGGACCAAATTTTTAATCTCCAATTTTCAATTCAAAATAATCAATCCAAATTCTTACCTGAGGTGGATAGTGTTGAGGAAGTGCATCGGCAGCCTCTCTGTAGACAGCCAAAGCATTTTGTAGTCGACCCTGATCGCTGTAGAGTGCTCCCAGCTGTAGCAAAGCAGAAACTTTCGCATTTTCATGCTCTCTGCGATCCTTGAGGCCAGTGCCGTCTAGTTTGGACGCTTGTCTAAGAACAGCAATCGCTTCTTCACATTTTCCTGTAGCTATAAGTGCCGTCCCAAGATTCACGTAGGCCACTGCAATTAAAAATTGTTTGTTTTGTTTCAGGAAGACGATTTGCTGCTTGGGGTAAGTGGAATTTTTCTTTGTACGCCAATGACTGTTACTGTCCCCAAGCCTCGGAAAAAATGTGTGCGGGTTGCATTTAAATTTGTTGATTTTGCATATTCGGTTATACAAATGGTTATTCGATTCAGACAGGGTCAGTTTCGATTTAAAAATTATGCTGTGCTTGCTTAGACGTTTTTAAATTATGCAACCCTCTCCGTCGTTTTATAATTGAGATAAATCTTTTGCAAGTAAAGAACATCCAAGAAAATGACGACGTCACATAAGGAATACGAAATTTCTTCTTAATTCCCTGCTCGCGCACGCCGGAGTAACATTCTGGCAAAACTTATGAATACGTAATTTCCAAGAAGAAGAATAAAATTTTCCCCGGTAATTAGCGCACCGAAAATCCCGAGCTCAATTTGAATAAGTGCCGCTGGAAAAAAATGAACCTGTCATTCGAGAAAGATTATCTTCCTTGACAAATAAGGTGTAGAATGTGAGAAGCCGTTACGGAGCTATTATCAGGGGAAATCTACCTTTTTGAAATTTCTGCGACATTAATCAGAGAGCGTTTTCCCGTGGAGCGAATCTACGAAATTTGAACCGCTAATTTGCCGCACTCGCGAATGAATAACCGCACTCGCTTTCTCTGTCTTTTACCCCTGTAGGGATTCGCTTGTGTGTTTAGGAATGGGACCGAATCGATTTTGAGATTCAAAAATCGTTTTCAAGAAATGTACACTAATTTGGATATCTGAGGTTTTTACACTTTTTTCTAAGGCTATGGTATCTATGATGTGGGAGAGCAGGATTCCATATTTAGTTAATCTGGATATTTTCGTCATAGTGGACATAGTGAGCTCACCACTTTATCCAATTGCTGAGTATTTTGAATGTTATTAAATGAGTTGGCTTCGACGTCTTCCAGCAGTCCTCGGTATGGAACCCAATTTACGTGACTAATTTCTATGAGGCAAAGTTTGGGTTTCCATACTCGACGATCACTGGAAGATGATTAGAGGTCAGACGGTGGGCTCTGAGATGAGATCTTTGCGATAAATATGTCCAGAATTTCGGGGAGTCCCTAAGCAGAAAAATGTGTGGGTTGGTGAGGCGAAATAATTGTGAAATTGGTGTCCGCAAGATTGTTTAAGCGGACACCGCTTGTGTTGGTGGCCCTGCATCCCCAATCTCCAGATTTCACAATCAAGTCGCTGCTGCTCGAGAAAAAAACACTTTGTTAGGTTTAATTTAAAACCCAAGTTCCTGATTTTATCTAGCACCCCCTGAAGCAGAAGGAAATGAAATAAGGTCATCTATGTAAGCTAACACTTGCTCTCCGCGTGTGCTTCCAGGCATTTTGCCTATTGCTCGCTGAAAAATATCTGGACTGTTGGCCAACCCAAAAGGTACTCGAAAGTATTCATAGTGCCCGTCTGGGGTAACAAATGCTGTTTTATGCGTGTATGCAGGATGAAAGTCAGAAACGACTCTTAAATCAGTTGGATTTGAGAATTATAATGAGAGAAAAAAATCTTAAAGGAAATCTCAATTTTTGTTTCTGGAAATTTTTTGAAATCTTGACACGCTCATGAATAATTGCCCATATTTTCAATAGAATTTCAGCAAATTAGCTACAATCATATATCATTGAAAAGAGCATAAAATTCTCTTCAAAACTGTACCATATTGGTGCCAATACTGCAATGGGTTCATGAGCAATCGAACTTCAAAGTTGAACTTTAGTCAAAATTTTGTCCAAAACTGCAAACTTTCTTTTTGGATTTTTTTCTCACAATGTTACAGTTGTTGCTCTATCGATCTGTTCAAGGTAAAACAAATTTCCCAATGTCGATTCTCGATTCTCAGCTCTATGAGCATCGGTCGTTTCGGCGCGTGGGTCCGTAACGAATATCATTTATCAACGTTGTCACCTCCCCGCAGAGGCGGGCAGTTAAATGAGCCCTTAAAAATTTCAAAACTTTCCCGCTACATTATTAAACGCGGATTTTTCGTAATAAAGTCAACATCGGAACTTTTTGTTCGATAATACACAACACGGTTTTTGTCCAGTGTTGTAATTGCGTTTTGGTCAGTCCCACATGTCGCTCCCCCCGCCTGTTTCATTCGGATTAAAAGCGAATCTCTCTGCATACTCATACATATTTAATTCCGCCCTGGCGAGAGCGTATTAAAACTGTTTTATGGGACACTGTATGCGGTTCGGGGCTTAATTTATGGGGTCCTTCAAAATGTGTTTGTATGGCTACGCTTTAATATTTATTTACATAAATATTTTCTTTCAAAAAGTTACAGAAAACTACATAAAACCCGACGATCAAATATAAACCAACAAAAAGCAATCATCAGTGTGGAGTCCGTTTTTTTTTTTCTTTTTCTTGTCGGTTATTGGTGGAAATGCGAAAACAATTTCGGCAAATATCCCTCGTAAAAGCGCTCTTCGTTGTTATATTTTTTTGCCCGTATAATTTTACGACTGGTCCCAAACTGAAAAAGGCGTATATAATATTAAAATATACATACAAGCCTTTGAAATGTTTGCGAAACTATTTCATATATGAGTGAGGGCAAAAAAAAAATTTGCATTAAAAATTATTATGAAATATATTGTGTGTGATGAAGGTGTCAGTTGCATTTTGTGATTGAAGAGAGAGGTTTCATTGGAAACTTTTCAATTCCTGATCATTTGGTCAATGGATTACAAAGTGTTATATCTGACCCTAGTAACAAATGTTGGTGTATTCCCTACATTTAGGTTTGTTTGAAAAATAAATTCCAACAGTAGTTGCTCACCTCTATATAATATATTAAATAATTTAAAAAAAAAAAGCACCTCCACATTATTTTGTTTGCTTTTAATATTTGATGTAAAGCTCAATATGGAAATTGGTATTTATTTGTATACGCAATGTGAATTATTGTTACTGTCGCAAAAATATACACATTTCAGTTTATTTTTGGGGACAATGACAAGATTTATTTGCAACTTGATAACAATATTCATATGTGAAATATATTTCAAAGTACATATTCATATTCAACTTTCATTGCACAACTTTATTGGATATGATAGTCAATTTTTGCTTATTACTACTAGTGTGTCTATAGAATAATGCAAATCAAGAGCCTGGTAATAATGAAAATTTCGATTACCTCCATAAATAAAACTTTCGAAAATAGATTTCTAATATTTGGTATCACCCGAACTGAACACTTCAATGACTTTTATACGACGTTGAATTTCACTCAGAAAATATAATCTTTTACACCAAATTTCACTCCTCGATCCAGTCAAGTACGACAAACATGTATCGATGAAAAATCCGCCACTGCACCGCAAAATTACAAGAAAACAACATCGGAACGGATAACAAAGAAGAACACACAAATCTTGTCCTGTATACTTTCTCCGAGCGAAATCACATGATTGTACGATAATTTGACATGTTAGATATTCTAGTAATTAACTTTTATTGTCAATTTTTATATGCTGCTAGAAATTTTACAATAATCCATCAAACAATGTTTGAGTATCCTTAAAAGGAAATGAAAGGGGGTAAAATCGTTCCGGTTATCGACAAAAATTGCAAAAAGCCCTTTCGTTTTGCGTGTGTATTTTAGGATCAACTTTGTTAAATTTTCATTTAGTTCATAGTGTTCGTCAAAATGATTAATCGTCTGTGTTTTTTTTTCTAAGCTTGAATAATTGTATTTAGCAAAAGGCAAAATTGTTTTAATTTTCTCGTTAGTATTATAGTGGTGTCCTTTATATTCAATATTACGTGCGGAATATCAGGTTACAACAATATCGCATAACGAATTTCGCAGTAATTTGATACATTATGACCCCGGATTACGGTTCAAATGCATCAAAAATGGATTATTATTGGGGCTCGGGCCGCAATATATCGACTGAAATACTAAATAATTTCCTTGCTAATTCCCCTTCTTTGTTACACACGTAGACCTTTTGCGGAGCCAAATTGCTCACGCAAGGGCCCCCCTTTTCACGTATAAATATGTATGAGCTTTACAGAGATTTGCTTTTAATTTGGCAAACAGACTGCATGTGCGGCCGGAATGCGACAATTACTGAGTTTTTTTTTTTGGAATTTAATTGTGACGGTTAACAATATTATCTAAAGCTGACCTGGCGATTATTCCCCATGGTTCAAGAGCCAGAGTCGAGAAAATTCACTAAAGCTAGTTTTTGGACAGTTGATTATAGTAGTTATGTACAGGAGTAACATAATGTGACAAGTTATTCAAGTACAAACGAGTGAATTGTTGCGGAACTTATGGGTGGACCTCCGCAGCCATCTATTTATCAATATGTTGTTTAATAACGATATTAACCTGACTCACTTAAATGTGAGTTATTCTTATTAGTTTAAAAAGTACACGTTTCAGGTGAGTGTCTTATTTGAACAGTTCAACAGTATATTGATGAGTTCCACCCATAAGTTCCGCAATAATCCACTTATTTGTACTTGAACAATAACTTATTATATAAAGTCAAAATTTGTAAGATTATGATTATTCACTTTTTGTCAATTAACCTTTCAACAGGAATTAGTAATGTTACTTTACCAAACTAGTAACATAATGTGATAAGTTATTCAAGTATAAATGAGTGAATTGTTGCGGAACTTATAGGTGGACCTGCGGGACGAGCGCAGCGAGTTCCGCAGCCATCTACTCATCAACATACTGTTGAATCATTCAAATAAGACACTCACCTGAAACGTGTAGTTTTTGAACTGATGAGAATAACTGACATTTGAGTGAGTCAGGTTAGTATCGTATGTAAACAACATATTGATGAATAGATGTCCACCCATAAATTCCGCAACAATTCACTCATTTGTACTTGAATAACTTGTTACATTGTGTTACTAGTTTGGTAAAGTAATATTACTAATTCCTATTGAAAGGAAAATTGACAGACAGTGAATAATCATAATCTCACAAATTTTGACTTTATATAATAAATTATTGTTCAAGTACAAATAAGTGTATTGTTGCGGAACTTATGGATGGACCCCTATTTATCAATATGTTGTTTAATAAGGATAGTAATCTGATTTACTCAAATGTGAGTTATTTTCATTAGTTTAAAAACTACACGTTTCAGGTGAGTGTTTTATTTGATCAATTCAACAGTATATTGGTGAATAGATGGCTGCGGAACTCGCTGCGCTCGTCCCGCAGAGGTCCACCTATAAGTTCCGCAATAATTCACTTATTTGTACTTGAACAATAACTTATTATATAAAGTCAAAATTTGTAAGATTAGGATTATTCACTTTTTGTCAATATGCCTTTCAACAGGAATTAGTAATGTTACTCTACCAAACTAGTAAGATAATGTGACAAGTTATTCAAGTACAAATAAGTGAATTGTTGCGGAACTTATGGGTGGACCTCTGCGGGACGAGCGCAGCGAGTTCCGCAGCCATCTATTCATCAATATGTTGTTTAATTGCGATACTAACCTGACTCACTCAAATGTCAGTTATTCTCATCAGTTCAAAAACTACACATTTCAGGTGAGTGTCTTATTTGAATGATTCAACAGTATATTGGTGAGTAGATGACTGCGGAACTCGTTGCGCTCGTCCCGCAGAGGTCCACCCATAAGTTTTGCAATAATCCACTTATTTGTATTTGAACAATAATTTATTAAATTAATAGAGTTAGAATTTGTAAGATTATCCACTTTTTGTCAATTTGTTTTTCAACAGGAATTAGTAATGTTACTTTACCAAACTAGTAATATAATGTGACAAGTTATTCAAGTATAAACGAGTGGATTGTTGCGGAACTTATAGGTGGACCAGCCATCTATTCATCAATATGTTGTTTAATTATGATACTAACCTGACTTACTCAAATGTGAGTTATTCTCATTAGTTTAAAAACTTCACGTTTCAGGTGAGTGTCTTATTTGATCAATTCAACAGTATATTAGTGAGTAGATGGCTGCGGAACGAGCGCAGCCATCTACTCACAGCAGAGGTCCACCCATAAGTTTCACAATAATCCACTTATTTGTATTTGAACAATAATTTATTAAATTAATAGAGTTAGAATTTGTAAGATTATCCACTTTTTGTCAATTTGTTTTTCAACAGGAATTAGTAATGTTACTTTACCAAACTAGTAATATAATGTGACAAATTATTCAAGTATAAACGAGTGGATTGTTGCGGAACTTATAGGTGGACCTCTCCGCAGCCATCTACTCACCAATATACTGTTGAATTGATCAAATAAGACACTCACCTGAAACGTGTAGTTTTTGAATTAATGAGAATAACTCACATTTGAGTAAGTCAGGTTAGTATCGTAATTAAACAACATATTGATGAATAGATGGCTGCGGCACTCGCTGCGCTCGTCCCGCAGAGGTCCACCCATAAGTTCCGCAACAATTCACTCATTTGTACTTGAATAACTTGTCACATTATGTTACTAGTTTAGTGAAGTAACATTACTAATTATTTTTCCAACCTTCCTAATTTCATACCGTCCATTTTTTAGACACTGCAAAACTTCATACGGTCTCAAAAACTCGTATCGTAAATCATACTTTAAGGCACGATCACATTTCTGATGTTAGAAATTAATGTTCAGTAAATCTTGTTTTTAAAAACTATTTATTTTATTGAAAACTAAGAAGTTTCAAGAAAAAATAGTAGACTTTAATTGCTACGGCAAAAAGCCGATAACAAAAGAATTCTGATTCTAATTGCTGTAGTCTAAGCTAAAAATAATAGAATGAGGAGAGAACGCACCGTATTTATAATAAAATATCGCTGACGGTGCAATCATGTGGGCGAAACCTTGATATGATGGTACTTTACCAGTCCAGTACCGCTTACTCAGCATCGTTATAATATTGTGAGCTTATATAGAGACGTACGCTTATATTTAATATTGAAAAGGAGAATTATGTATATAATAATAACATAGGGATTTATAATATAACTTGTACATAACTATTGTAATTAACTGTCCAAAAACTAGCTCTGGCTTTCCGTCTATAGTTATCAAGTCTATACTTACCTATGGAGCTATTGTCTGCGATCATAAAGCTACGTTCAAAGAATGACATGGCTTACCACCCTCTCAAACATTCAGATACATACATAGAGTATGACAGGCATTGTTTCGTGAATGCAATTTGTGTGCCGCTACTGGAACGATCCTTTAGAAAAAAAAAAGGAGATCGTGTCGTCATTTCGCCCTATGTCTGCGATAAAAATTCTGGCACCGGAACGAGTTTTGCATAAAAATATGTCGGGGATTCTGGAGTGAAACGAGAGAGAGTCCGCAGGATATGAATTGGCGTTATTAAGAAATCCGAATGTCTCAATTTCGACGGCACTCTTGCGAGTTCGGGGCCCCTGGTTTTATTGATGGGGAATATTTTACGCGTTATTTCGCGTCCTCTCGGGCAGAATTTCACTTTGTATGCATATTTTTACGAGCTCCAAAAAAATTTGGTTCTACTTACATGCCAGCGACGGTCTGAAATGTATGGCTCGTTGGTAGCTCTGGATGGCTTCGTCTAGCTTTTGTTTGCTCTGTAGCAGGATGGCCCTGAAACAATAGTTCATTATGTTCAATTGTCGTCGAGTACCTCTGTACGACAATAGAGATTCGCGCTTCCCTTATTATTGACCCTTCGGGCGTCTCGTATTATTGTCGATGTCGATTGCTTGAGGTCCTAATATCTAGAATATCTATAGTTAATTGATTGAATTCCTAATTGAATTAGATTCTATAATAAATCTGAGAATGAACAAAAAAATACAATTTATATTTTCCTTTTGAGCTATCAGCCTCCATTGTTAATTGGTAAATTGAACGATAAAAAGAGAGAAATTTGCCATGATGTTTTGTATGTACATAAAGCCGCATGGAATTTTCATTTTCCCTCAAAAAAAAAAAAATATTTTGTTTTGGAATAAATTGCCAAAAACGACAGCCTTATCTTTTTAAATTCAAAACCAAATTACATTATTAATAATTTCCTTGCAGCTGGTGACAATTCTTATTATACTCGTCGAAAAATGTAATTTAAATTTTCTGGTTTCGACTCGATTCCTGGGCGTTTTGAGTAGTTAGTCACCGAACCGAAAAACCCGGACTAAAGAAAATCTATTCGACCTGTCAAACAATAGACTTTGTTCGATAATGGAATGGTTTCGTTTGTAATTAAAATTAATTAATAATTATCCATGAATTTAATAAATCTAGTGATTATTCCCGGTTCTTGATTTAAATAATCAAAAATCGAATCCGCTTTGAAGTTTGTAGTATAACATACCCGGGTTCGTTGAGTAAGATTAAACGATAAGAATTTTGATTACCTTTAAACAACAAATCTGAAAATGAAAAACAAATAGGACCTACGTTGTGGAAACTTACTCAATTTTACTTACTATACATACGCCTGACATAGCAAATATTAGGGAAAATTTAAGGGAAGTTGTAATATGTAAAAGAAACGAAAAATTTGTGAAACGTCTACTTTATTATTGAAGTAAATCGTACCGTTCTCATCCTGGAACTAACGAGGAGAAAGAGCACGGCAGAGAAACCCTCGATCTAACATTCCTCCAAAATCGTAACACACTGTGTCATTTTAATAATTAATTATGAGTGAATAATTCAAGTCAATAAAATATTAAATTAGGTACAGTCCCTGTTCTTGTGCTAAAATTTCAATTACATACACTACATTCAATCAACACTACCTATATTCAATACTGAAGAGTTTTTTTGTTAGTTAGCCAGTTTCCCAGCAGGTACTGAGGTCCCATACGGGAAGCTACTCAGCTATAGTTGTTTTTGAACCAATATCTCTAGATTAATTATTTCAATTTGTTAGGATATTCTCTTGTCAGGGTAGGAAAATGTTAGTAAATTCAACAAGGCCCTAATACACGCTCTAAATCCAAAAATCAAAATCTCAACATAAAAAACAGCACATAATTTCTTAGGTTTTAATTTACTCTTTATCTATGTTATTTACAGCAAGGACCGATTTTTATTAAATACATGAACAATGCACATGATATAATATTTTAAATAGGTGGTTTTTCTCAAGTTCATATCAAGAGACGGGAATAATTAAAAATTGAACAACAACTTTGCATAATCATCATGACCCCATAGTTATAGCATAAAATTTTAATGAGAAAATATTATAATACTAAATGTCCATGTTAATTTCACCCATGATGCTTTACAAAATAACCCAATGAATAATGAATGAGCTTTGTCAATTTTAATATCGTGACAAGTTTTCTCGAATCCTACAAGCCTCGCTTACAAATCTATTGTTACAAGAAGCCACAAAACCGTACTTTGTTAATTAACTCGGCTAAATAATTATCATAACGCGAACACAATACCAACATAAATCATTCCGCGTATCTGTGGAAGTGGTTTTTGTCTCGCGCGAATCGATTTAAATTTAATTCACGTTGGAACAACTGTGGACCACTTCAATTCGTCATATATATATATATATATATATATATATATATATCGCGTGCAAGAAGTTAGCTTTGGCTTTGGGTTGTACAATAATAAATCATTTTTATTTTTATAAAGATTCAATAAAGCAATTAAAAATTGCTTAGTGATTTAGGTGAAGAGTTTTCTAAGATTATTGATGTTTTACAGAAAGCGCAAGTCACACATATTATGTTTCAGAATTCGCTGACATTTGAATGATTTATTGTAATGTTATGCTACTAAAAATATATATATGGTTGTTAGTAGTTTAAACTGAAAACTTGCACAGTGACAACGATAATCTTTAATTTGTACCCCGAGTGCTTTGAGTAATTTGTATAAAAAATTGCTTCATGTATAAAACATCAAATAATAATCGGTATCGTTAAAAATACGAATACCAAAGTACGGTCTTTTTTTTTTGGAAACGTAACAATGCCGGGGATGATGACGCAAAAGAATATTTAAATTACATTGTTGTGTTGCCCGAGATAATGGCGTCGGAGGATAAGTTATGGATTTTTCAAGAGATAAAAATAACTGGAATTCTATTTGCAACCCCTCAATTCCAAGGATACAAGTCGAGATGAATTTATTTTCATACGTAACCAGAACGCGTTCTAATTGCCGATAAACATTTTGGAAATCCTTTGTGCCAGAAATTCTGTATAAAAGCGACATTTCCATGTAAAACAAATAACCGTTACCGGTTACGCTGCTGGAAATTTTGTTAAAATTCGCGCTGTGTACTCAGGTTATTAAAATTAATGGGTGCCAGGGTTTTATTTTCCGTCTGCAGAGAGAACTGTGTGAAAGTTAGTTTAATTAATATCGAGTAGATTATTATGTAAAGCTCTCAAGGATCGAATCAAAAATAGTCCTTGTATTACGAAAGCCCCTATTCACTGGACGTTTCCATTATTCAAATAGCCTACTTACATAAACCCTATTTCCTATTGAGCGTTTTATGTTGTCAATGCAAAGAGGTGCCTACGAAACCGTACAGAAATACGCTCGATTGATATGAGGATTTATCTTGTATAAGGAGTTTTTTTCTCTTGCAAATGAACCTTGAAAATTCAATATTATATAGGCATAGTTTCAAAAACCACCGTTTACTAGGAAGAGAAAACTCGCGGGTGCATTCACTAATCCAAAAGGCATTCTATTATAATTATAAATGGCTTCTTGGTTGTACGTTTAAAACTACATAATTCTTTGATTGAAAAATGTTTGCCCACACAATTTATTTTATTCAAAGCGCACCCTCTCAAGCATGAACAATGGATTTAACATTTTTAAAAACGCAAGCACTTGATTTATGTAGCCTTATTTCCTAGTGCAAGCAAATCGATACTCTGTAAACCCACACACACATACAAGGAGTTTTTGACGTTAAAGTTGAATCTTAAACTACCTTCATTAGCGTCAAAATATTATATAAAAACCATTAATTCTGTATTCAGCGTTAGCCGATTTTCTTATGCTGCAAGGTGTTGACGAAGTTATAATCAATCTTTTAATCTACAGCGAGCTGTTAACTTTCCGAATGGTAATGAAATTAAAAAGAAATCCAGGTCAAGTGCTCTGATTTTAATGACTAGTGTTTTAGCCTATTCAAAATATCTAGATTTACTGTCCAATTTCGCCGCACTTAATGGGTCCAGGCCCGAACGCCGAATTTAATCTAATTAAAACTCGGCCCTGTGTAATAATTGTTTTCGCACCTGCAACTAAATTGGCGACATCACTTTAAATGCGAAATTCCCGTCGCGCACGGACACAAACGAACTGATAATGTCAATTTCGCGCTCGGCTGGCCCCCGCACACGAACGACCCAGTCGGGGATTTTTTTCCGGACTTTGTGGATTTACCAGGGACTTTTAAGGGCCGGTTGTTTGGTTTTTGTATTATCGATGAAACGATGTTGCATCCCAATTTGAAGGAAGGCGCGTTATTGTCCCTTTCACAAAGAGAAGAACACTAAGAGGGCTTCGATGTCCTGAGCTTAACGGAAATATCAAATATCTAGGAGTCATTTTTGATTGAAAGATGTTGGGTCCACGCATCAACAAAGTAGTCCAGAATTCAATATGCTGTATGGTACCAGTGGTTTCTAGGCCAAATTTATTCAGGTCCACAAGCAAATTGTTCTTTAGTTAATATACCCAGCGAGTTATCGTTGGGATAATAACAACTAACCGGACTGGTTATAACTACAATCTTTGCAACGGTATTTGGGGTACTCGTATTGTTGCTTCCTGTCATCTTGACTCTGAGTTTTACAAAAGACTGGTTAACGGACTAATTCTGATGGAAACTTCTTTTTCCAGCAATTGAGGGTCCCTGCTCGGGCGCCAAATTTGTAGCGCTCTATCGGTTTTTCTTTTTGGAAAAAGCTGGGAGACTAAACCCAAAGATGAAGTAAAGGCGGTACTCTACAGACCAGGGTCCAATTATAAGACATCAAAGAATCATAAATTGGAAAATAAAGGAGGATCTCTAGGCCAATTAACAGGGTATTGCAAACTACTATGATCAATATTTTATTATTCCCGGCTCTTGTAAGAAGCCTTCCACATACAGGGTGATCAATATCCAATTATCAGCTCAAAATATATCAAGATACGTCAAGAACTTGTTTGAAATTTGCTTCTTTCGTTTGAAGTACAAGGTTTGAGAGTTTTCTAGTGGCAAACATAGGATTTTAATCTTCACTCGTATTAAAATGGTCATAACTTTTGAACGATTCAAGCTAGCGAGTTGCGGTTTATTTTAAATTAAAAATCAGCTCAAAATATATCAATGCACCTCAGAAAATTGTTTGGAATTTGCTTCTATCGTTTGACGTACAAGGCTTGAGAGTTTTCTAATGGCAAACATAGGATTTTAGTCTTCACTCGTTTTAAAATGGTCATAATTTTTGAACGATTCAAGCTAGCGAGTTGCGGTTTATTTTAAATTAAAAATCAACTCAAAATATATCAACATAACTCAAGAAATTGTTCGGAATTTGCTTCTTTCGTTTGAAGTACAAGGTTTGAGAGTTTTCTAGTGGCAAACATAGGATTTT